ATACTTGCCCTTGACTGGTTTAAGCTCAAAGTCATACTGATCTATCTCAACGGCCCACCTAGTTAGCTTAGGTGTCATCTTGGCCTGCGTTTTCAACCACCAGTGCTCTAAGGCCTGCCTGAGAGCGTAGAGTTCTCTCTCGTAAGTCGAGGTTGCCACTTTCTCTGAAGGCATCCTCGCTGACATGAACTCTATGGGTCTGTAGTCATTGCCGTCATCTTGCTGCAACACGACGCCTATACCATATTGACTTGCGTTCGTGGTGACGACAAATGGTAAGGATGGATCTGCTACCTTGAGGACGGGATATTCTATCAATGCTCGTTTTAACTTCTTTAGAGCGAATGCATAGTCTTTGTCCCACTTCCAGATCGCTTCTTTCTTCAGCAACCTGCGAAGAGGGGCGGCGATGGAGGAAAAGTTCCTCACGAACTTCCTGTAATAGTTAGCTAGGCCTAGGAACGACCGCAACTCTGTCATTGTGCGGGGCGTCGGCCAATCTCTAATTGCCGCTATCTTACTATCCTCAGGTCTAATTCCACCTGTGTGGCCCAAATACAAGACTTGTGTCTTGACCCACTCGCACTTCTTTGCATTGGTTTTGAAGTTAGCCTCTCTTAGCTTCTCCAAGACCTGCCTCAAATGACCCTGATGCTCTTGGAGGGTCCTACTGAAAACTAAGATATCGTCGAGGAAAATTACAATGAATTTGTCTAACCACGGCCTAAACGCATCAATCATGCAGCGTTGGAATGTGGTTGGCGCATTGGTCAGTCCAAAGGGCATCTCGATGAACTCATAATGCCCATATCAAGTCCGGAAAGCAGTCTTGTACTGGTCATCAGGGTGAAGTTCTATCTGATGATATCCGGACTTCAAATCTATCTTTGAAAAATACCTACAGCCCTGCACCCGATCTAAGAGATTGTCTATCCTGGGCAGTGGCTCAACATTCTCCACTGTAATGGCATTCAGACCCCTATAGTCGATGCACATATGCAACTCTCCCTCCTTTTTGGGGACAAACAGAATGAGTGCTCCGAAAGGAGACGAACTTGGCCTAATCCAACCCTTTTCGAGGAGTTCGTCTAGTTGCTTACGCAACTCCTCTAACTCCCTTGGGGACATCCTATAAACTGGACCATTAGGAGTTCTACTGCCAGACTCTATCTTGATTCTGTGCTGGATCGACCACGACACTACTCTTGTCGGCGGCTCTACTAAGTCCTTAAATTCTTCCAGCAGCTTGGCAATAGTTGGGTCCATTGGCTTATCCTCTTTAGGCTCAGTGAGAGGCCTCATGTAGGCTACAAAGACCTGTTCTTCTAACTGCTCCTTTTTAACTAACCGCGCGAACGCGGGAACATTGAGACAACAATGTGCCAGGGAGTTATCTACTCCTGACACATGATATAGGCGAGCAGTCTTAACTTCACCTGATGGACTCGGGAGCCTAAACTCATGCTCTCTCAAATGGAGTGTGGCCCCTGCTGCCTCTCCCTAGTCCATACCTAGGACTATATCGAATGGGAGGTTATCCTCTACGAGAAGATTCAGGGAATGGAGCACTTTCTCTACTTTGCCATCCTTCTCTAGGCGAAGATACGCCTGGACTCCATCGACGTAATCCTCAACACGCATCGTGCGGTTGTCTATGAGGATACTAACTATGGGGTCTTCCAACATTTGGACTTGCAGACCTAGCCTCAGCTTCTTTAGTGCCTTCCTGCTGATATAACTACGGGTAGCCCCTGTGTCTATGAGGGCCCCTACTCGGCTCCTAAGAACTTCTAAATCTACCAACACAAGTTGTCCGTTACTCTCTTTCTTCATCTTAGCCTAGGCTGGCATCCTCTCCTTCAACTCTTCTGCCAAACATGTGAGGAAAGTACTTAGAGAGACTCTAACAAAGGCAGTCTCAGCTAACTAGGCACTGACCTGCAACCTCTGCCATAGGCTCATGTGATGTGGGAGTTTCCTGGTGGTGCGTGCACACTTCCCCACATGGCCTAATGGTAAGGGCAGTTGCAACCCCTACTGGCGGCTGCCTTTTGACCCCTGGGCAGCGAATCGGGTTTCCCTATACTTTGGACAGTATGTAATGATGTGTGCAGGGTCACCACAATAGATGCACTACATCCGCTGTTGCCACACTCTCTGATCCAAGCCCAAATCTTCCCAAGGCCGGCCCTGTGCCAACCTCCTCTCCTCTGAGGTGATCCTCCACCTCTGCACTATGGTGATTGACTGGGCCCCGAGCGATTCGGCGGGGCACCTTGACCCCTACCTCCCTCTTGGCGGTTCCTTTGGCCGCCAATCCCTTGTGCGCCCGGACCTCGACCACCCATGGCCCGGCCCCCTTGGCCCTGGCCTCCTCCTCTACCTTGCGACCTCCCTCCATCCGCGACAGCAGCGTAAGTCCTCCCCTGACCTACACTACTATCTTCCTCCTCCAGCCCCCACTTGATCTAACTATAGGGGACTTCGTCAGTACCAGCCTCATCTAAAGTAAGGATCAGGTGATCCTTCGCCTTGACCTGACCCGAGACGGTACGACCCTTCCACTTCTTTCCCTTGTCTAAATCCTTATGCCAGAAAGTGGAAACTGGCATGGATTTGGCCTCAAACAGGACCACCTCTCTACTCAGCGCGTCATACGTAGTAGTGGTCTGTTGGGTCTTCTCAAAGAAGTGCCCTCGCAAGGGCTCTGGCATGGAACAATAAAATAAGTTAACTAATTGGGTCTCAGTGACCCCGTGGTCTGGGATGGCTACCAGATCGTACATAACTGCTTTGAGTGCTCTTGCACTCTTCCACTGTCGTGAGTGGATTGTCTGCAGTTTGTCAAAGGCCCTGACACCTCGTGTGACATCAGCGAACCTCTCTCTCAGGAGTTTGAGGAAGGTGTGAAGAGGGGTGAGTTTAGATTATGCAACCATATTGTGTTCACAATCAGCTGCTCGCGAGGGACCTAGCAAAACTGGCCGCTTCGTCTTGTAATGCGTGGAAGGCCACGAGGACTTGTTCCTCTGGCGCAATAAGCTGCAAGTACATGTACGTGTTGATACTGGCTCCCAGTTATCAAAATTCTCGTCCCTTTTCCCGCCATACGAGTTAGGGAACTTGAGCTTGACAAGCTCTTTGCGGGGGCGCCCTTCACTCTCTGCAACGACCAGTACTTTGGCGCCTGCGCAGAATTTCTCTGCGCTGTACCTTAACTTCTTAACTTCGGTCCCGACATGAGTCATTACGTCGCGCACGAAGTCCCTAAAACCAAAACGGATGGAGTGGAGGGCCATGTCTTGGCCCCTAACAGACTGATGGTGTTCAATCCAGGCCCTGCCTAGGAGCTCGATGCTCCCAAGGATCTTATCTAACTTAGCCTGGATGTCAGGCTGGGCCTCTACTTCTTGTCCACACGTCTGTAAACTTTCCACCTCTCTGGCCATCTTGTTGGCTTCCTCCGTCCTCCTCTTCGTCTCCCTTGCCAGGCGCAACTTCCAATCCAACCTCTTCTTGTTTTCTATGGCCTGGCGTTCTAGGGGATCACTCGTCCCCTTGATCTCCCTAGTTGCTGCTTCCTTCTCCTCCTGGGGTATATACAACATCGCCTCTTCATCCTCTCCCAACGATAAATTAGCCACCCACTCACTTATCCTCCTTTCCACCCACGGCTCGTCTTCTTTCATGCCATTGTTTTCGGCTCCTTCCCCTAATCTTCTTCGTCTGAGGGGCTCTTCTTCCAGCTGCTCCTCCTCTTCAACCTCTTCTTCCTTTGCAGCTCTCATTCTCTCTTCCTCCTCTTGCTGCAATCTTTGCATCTCCTCCTCCAGCTTCTTCTTCTTCACCGCCTGCTCCTCGGCTATCATCTTCATCTTTGCCTGCCTAAGGAGCTCCTTCTTCTCCCTTCTCTCTCTTAGGATGCGTTTTCAACCATACTTCGGACCTTACCCCTACTCCCACTTTTTCCCTTATTCCTTCCCACGTGCATCCAACCTTCCCAGTCTGTACTGAAAGCTCACACATGTGAGATTTCCACTCAACCATGTCATTCCGCAACGCCCCCTCTGTTTTTGGCCGTGTTTCATTTTTTTTCCCATACTCTTACCTAGTACGTTCTTTAAGCCATCCCTTTGGGGGGTTCAATCCTCTGGACTTCCTTACAACCGCTTTACCAAGTACACAACTGCTTCCTCCATTTGTCCCACAACGGGGCATGCTTGTGAACATACCCCGTCACACAGCCGTTGAACATCTCAGGAGGATAGCCTTGCATCTGCAACTGTCTTTTCGTCGTTAGCAAGGCGAGTCCTGCCAATTCGTCTGAGGAAGACATCCTCCGAATTCGGTGTAGTGTACTAGTAATTACAGCTTTCTTCTGTCTCCTCATCGAAAAAGAGTCGAAGTCCTAAAAAGTACGGTACGACAGTGCCCCATCTTCCCAGACCTGTTCGTAGTTCTTGGGATAGCTCTGGCAAGAGACCATGTTCCCGACTATCTCGATCTTTGTACCCAGGAAATCCCATGCGCCTTTGCCTTCATCCGTCTCTTTCAGTGTTACCTGCTTGTCGTAAGCACCATCGAACTTCATCATCACTTCACGGTAGCGTTTGGTACCATTCCTCGCCAGGCACCAGACGAAGATTGATACGTCATCGACAAGCCTCATCCCTCTGCGTTTGGTACCATTCCTCGCCAGGCACCAGACGAAGATTGATACGTCATCGACAAGCCTCATCCCTCTCACAAGATTCCTATCAGCCCCAAGGCTTGTGAGGAACTGATACTCATTCATGGTGCACAGGATACACGCTAATGGGGGGCTGCTGCTCTTCCCCATTGGAATACCCACCTGCTGCCGAATCAACCTACCTGAAGCGAACAGGTAAGTGTGACTTAGGTCATAATCTACCATGTCTCTGATGGTTCCAAAACTCACTTCCATCCACCATTCATTCCCTGTTTTCTTTGCAAGGGTTGAACCTTTCCCCCTCCTTCTAATATTCACACTTATCCGACCCCTTCATTCATACCATTTCAGGATCCATTCCACGACCGCTCGAATGGACCCATGCGGGAGCTGGCTGAACATTTCCTTGATATCATAAGCCGCTCCCACCAACTCTCTCGTTCCTTTCGAACGAACCCAAGTGTTCACTTCACTAATCCTATCCTTCAATAAATCGGTTGATTTGAGATTAAAATGAGCCGACTTTGGGAGTAGGAAGAGCATATGATTGAGGGCTCTTGCTGCTCTTCCACCTGCTGACTTCGTTGGTTCCGAAAACGCCGGGCTTATCGGTCGGAATCTACAGATATCCTTATGCTTAGGAATAATGTAAGCCCGTCCGCATGTTCCGCTTCGGTCCCATTTTCCCAACGTTTCCAAGTCATAAGCCTTATAGGCGTTTCCACATTTGGCAAGCACCTCAGCCTCAAGTTCCCACACTGCTGAAAAACTCTGACTGCCCCAGAACGTGGTGCGCATTCCCTCAGAATACACATCCGGGCACATTGCCACAGTCTCGGCTGCATTTCTATTTACCGCTGTTAGTACCATCCCCGCAAACATTTCTTTACACCTCCGAACTTCATCCAATAGCCCGTGATCATAGTCCCTCCGCTCTTTCCAACAACAAGATACTTCGTCCAAACTAACAGTTGACTTTACCCCAATCCTGTTCAAGGAGTCATTGATATCGCGCATGACTTTACCAACCCTGGTACAGTCCCCAACTGGAATAATATTGTGAGCATTCTTCACAAACATAGGAACCGATCCTACATCACTTACTCTGCATACCACGTGACCCCCCACCTTTGGAAGGGCGCTGTCTGCACATGTGCAGACTCCCACTTTCTGCTGAGCTGCAGAACGATGGTCATGGAGGATATCTCTGACAGTAGGATTTTTCGTCTAGACTGTCAAGAGCCTTTGACACGTGAACGCAGCGAGCGACTCAGGGAGCTCCGCTTGCAATTTAGTTTCCACTAGTTCCCGTACAGCCTGCATAGACACTCCCAAATCGGAGGTCACTGAAACACACACTTTCTTTCTAATATTAAACCGGAACTTCTGTCAAATGACGCCGCCCAGGATATCCTTAAGGTTTGCACGGGAGGCTGCTCTTGAGAAGCAACCAATGGCTGATGCTAACTTCATTAGCTGCTCAATACTGTACTTATACAACTTTTTCTTATTCCATTTGTTACGGATGAGCTGGTAAAGCTCACGTTTCAGCCTAACTTTCTCAGCCGATAACTTCTTCTCTCGTAGGTCAACGACTTCGAAAACGCCTCCTTCCTCGAATTTACTTCTTAACTCAGTAACTGGTCTTCTTTCTGATCCCGTCCGGACAATTGTCGCACCTAAGTCTTTTGTGATACAGCCCCACTTCTGTCCCCAGACTTCCCCTCCTTCAAACCTGAATCTTTTTCCCCCTTTCCATGCAGTCATGCATACCTCTGTGAATTTAACAGATCTCAAACCTTCTGTTTCAAAAAATATAGGCAGTTTTTTAACGACCTCATGGCGTCTCTCTCTCTTCCTCTCCTTCCTCCCCCTTCGATTTCTACTTCGCTTCTTCCCCTTCTTGCCCTTGGAATTAAGAGACGACGACCACTTCCTGATGTAAATCCGCTCTACTTGCTCTTTTTTTTTTTTTTTTTTTTTTTTTTTTAAACGGGCCCAGTGCCCAAGGCTGATATTACCAATAAGAAGATTGAGGACATGGTCCTCACAGTCTACCCGGAGAGACCGAACCAAACATGTTGAGAACCGGGCTCAGCGTCCCTCATATGATGATAATGATGATGATGATGATGATGATGATGATGATGAACTTCTGCTGATTCTATATAAACTGTAAGATAATGATACTAATGATGATGATGATGATGACGATAATGATGATGATTAGTATGTAAAAAATTTAGAAGACTATGCTATATCAGCAAATCTGCCCTCCTAATCCTAGAACAACTCCTAGGCCCCGCTGTACCAGGACATTACATCTCAGAGACAATGCCATCCTAACCAATGTCAACCATAGCTGACCTATTCTCGCCACCTAGACTATCCCTGGTCCCATAGGTTGTCAAGGCAGCCCCCCCCGTTTGCCACTGGATTGCTTTCCTCCCTTAGCAAATCCCCAGATTTCTCTACAAGGCCTCACACTCCTACCATTTGCAGGCTACAGGGCAACGCCCCAGCTCCAGCCAGCGTCGTTCCGGCATTGGCAAACCAGGGGCACAAAACAAAGCCACTTTGCAGATATCAGTCTAGATTCCACCATCTATGAAATCCTATATCCGAACGAGGAAGGAGGTCAGATGCCGCCAAGAATTACAGCACACAAGAAAGCTTGATATAACATGATTGAAGACTGTGGAATTTTGAAGCACCTGATACTACGTAGTACGCATGCTTGTCCTCGATCTTTAAAGACAGTCGTCTGTCTTCCAGACGTGTACATAGCACTAGAAGATTACCTTGGAAATCAATTGAAGAAATCTCCCCCCCCCCTCTTCACCTTCCCCCCTGTCCCAGTGCTGCCTCCACCGAAGAGAAACGTCGTGCTTGCAAAGATTCTCCATTGGCCCCAGCTTGGGACAAACCCCCTCCCCCTCCTGTTCCTACAAAGGCATCAAATTCCCACCTAAAGTAAGCATCTGGCAACCTCTACCCTAATCTGCCCCCGCTGGGGTATGATGCTACAATGTACTTCTACCCCAGCCCCAAAATAGGGCAATCCCCATATTCTGCTCCCACCCCCTTCAGAGCATTCACCACCCACCTTGTGAAGCCCCTGCAGAGTAGAGCTCTCCCCCTCAACACCCAACCTCCATCATCCGAAAGTAAATCATCAGAGCACGTTGGAGGAGAAAACAAAATTTAGGACGGCATTTAGACCTCCATTTTTTGATGAAATAAGAAGTGAGATTAGATTTGAATGCTATAAGAATTCCAAGAGAACATCAAAACGCCTGTAACCATATTGAGGGAATCAAGGATTAGTTAAGACTTAATTAATTATAAAATACTTAATTAAAATTTTTAGGTATTATGGAAGGTAGAAATGCAGATTGAAGATTCATAAATTCGAAATGTAGGAATTTTAGGTATTAAAAATACCAATCAGCTTAGTTGTAGGAGTTGAGAGTTACGATGATTCTGGAATATTCGAGAATATTATTTGGAAATTTAATTTGGATATTAAATTAGGATATTATTTTAGTTGAAAGAATAGATTGGATATTAGAATGATGATATGTATGATGATTGGATGTTGATTAATTAGCTAAAAAGGATACTAATTAGAAGTAAGAATTACGAGAATAGTACAACCTATATTACTAAGTGGCCCGTCCCTTTCCCCCTTAAATCCCAATCTCCCACCTCCTCACCTACTACCTTTCCCCTTCTCTCCCTCCCTTATCCCCACCTTCTTCCTACCCCGACCCCTCCTACCCCATTCCCTCCTCCACTTCTACCCATTGTCACCCCACTACACTCCTCGTCCTTCAAGTTGTTGGATGAGGCGGCGGAACAACCCCGAAGCGGAGCAAAGGAGAGAATAGAAAATGAGGAGAAGAGGGCAGAGGACTAATAAGGACGAGGGGGGGAGGGAAGAATAAAGCGAAGAGGCAGCCGAGTAAAGAGGAGTCAGAAGGGGAAGAAGGAGGACGGAAGAACACGAAGAGGAAGATGGATGAAAGAAGGACGAACCTTACCCACGACCGCCAAATGCCATGATGATGATGATGATGATGATGATGATGATGATGATGATGACGACGATGCTGATGCTAATGTTGATGTTGATGCTGATGATGCTGGTGGCAAGACCTGTCGCTGCTGTCATCCTTGCGCAGCAGCCATGCTCACCGGTGTCATGTGGAAGATGATGATGATGATGATGATGAAATTTATGAAAATGTAGCCTCTCCTCGTGCTTCTGCCGCTGACCTGCCGTTCGATGTGCTCCTGAAGAAAACTCACCATCGCCCTTACTAACCCCGCAGCATATACTCGCAGTGCCAGCCCTTAAACTAAAGAAGTGCTCTTATCACCTCCTCAGCCTGCGCCAAACATCACCTGTATTTGCTCCGCAGCGATTAACTCCTGACAATGCTTGTTCCTCAGATGCTTATTTATACAGCCAGGTAAATCGTGCACTGAAGCAAAAGCAATAGGAATAGCAATGTAATCCAAGGCATCCGAGTGTCTGAGACAATTATACAGTTTCGCATTACCAAAACCATCCCTATGCTTTGTTTTGTACAAATGTTCTTCCCACCGAGTCAATAAGCTTCGTTTTGTTTGACCGATATAAACTGCTCTTGACCCTGGGCTTAGCAACACGTGCACACATTCTTTAGGGTCCTCCCAAGCCTCGAGATTTGTACTTACTAACTCAAACCAATTACCTGCAAACTTTGCGCCCCACTACAACTCCCCATTCCGAACTAATAACAACACTACGTATCTAAGGACACCCTCCAGACTAACGCGCAATTGCTTAGTACCCAAGGTGCGCTGATCGTGGAGCTCTTTCTGTAAACCAAGGTAAGTCCTCAGCTCTTGCCATAGTTCATTTGTCCTACGGATTTTCAATCCCCGGGTTGCCTTGCTCAGTAGTTGTTACTCTAGCCTCCTCCATCGACTCCTCTCGCTGTGGAGCTTCACGAATCACGACCCCGACTGCACGAGGTCTTATCGCAGGTACCGCAGGTTGCGGTGTTGTCTGCGCATTGAAGTACATAACCCACAATTCAATCATCTCGTCCACCGCCTCTAGTCTGCCACGATACACGACACCTGCTTCTCGACACATTTCTTCGATCGTGGGTTTTAATTTCTTCCCCAGGAACTTACGGATCGCCTTCCGAAAGGCCGTTGTTGTGTTGTAGTCACCAGCAGTCGGCGCTCCCTCCCACAGGCAAGAGTCCTGATAGGGAAACCCTAGCTCCCTTCATCAATTCTTACTCTTTGTTGTGGTACTCCTATCCTCGGGGATCTCTCATCAGCGGTTGCTCTGGGAATCGAAGTCGAGGTTCGGCCTACCTTCATTGGGGATTCACCAGGAGAGCTAACTTGACAGGTTGGTACTGGTTGTCGCTTCCGCTTCTCCAGTCTTTCCTCTGATGGATCTTCCTCATCAGAGCTCGTATCTTCCCTGGCCTTCGCCTTGAGGGCTCTATTGGACACGATTGCGTTCTTCAACCTTTTCTCAAACATCCTCTTAAACTCTTCTCGTAATGTCTCCTTCTGCTTTGCTAACAGCATCTCCATCTTCCACTCTCGTTCAACTTCCTTTTTCTCCTTAGCCTGCTTCTTCGCTAGCTCAAGACGATTTTTCGTTTCCCTGGCTGACTTTTCTAGTTCCTCCTGTTTCTTCATCTCCTCAGCCTCTCGTGCTTCAGCCTCCCTCCTTTCTTCTCTTTCCATCTGTCGACTAGCATAGAGGCACACCTGCCTCATGGAGTCTTCCAGGTCCTTGCTCATCACTGACATTACTGCCTTGGCCGGTTCATTGGAGCTGTTAGAGCTACTTGCTCCATCGTTACCGTTACGAATCCCTCCGTTATTGAACCCACCTTGTCTAGGCACATTGCATTCTCGGGTGATGTGCCCAATTTGGTTACAGTTGTAGCATCGCGCCGTCCTCTTCCAATCGCCTTCCCCATTGCTGCTGCCATCATTCCGTTGATTTCCACCACGATTATTCTGCCCCCAATGTCCATCACCGTTCCAGTTACCACCTCCACCGTTCCAATTGTTCCCTCCTCAATTCCAATTTCCTCCGTTGCCGCCGTTGTTGCCACCACCGTTCCCGTTGCCACCTCCACCGTTTGAATTGCCGGCTCCCCCATAACCCCCGTTCCCTCCACCGTTACTCCCTCCACCACCCCAGTTACCGCTCTGACTACCATTACCAGCCCAGTTGCCACCGTCGTTGTTACCACGCCCGCCACTGCCACCTCCATCATTACCGCCATTATTCCCTCCCCCGTTTGGATTGCCACTCATATTCACGACGTTCGCAACTTCACAGTCGATCACCCTTCTCCACCATGATTCACCGTACCTTTTGTCGGTGCATCATCGTAGTGTTGCAGGGCCACCACGCACAAGTGACGTACTTCTGGTAGGTTGCCACTGCGGTTCAAAAGCAGAAAGGAGAGACAGTGTAACTGACTCAACTGAATACACAACCGTGTGGTACCACGACGCACACTGTGTGATAACCAATCCCGAAAAATTATTCTCCGAAGGATACAATGTCAAGGCGCAGGAGATCCATAGCAGAGTTATGGCGAACGCTACTGTTCCCAGCGAAAGAGAAGGAGTGAGACTCGAAGAACAGAGCGCACCTGGCATCCCCTACTAGTTTCGGCCGTAGCCAGGAACGGCCTCATCAGCGGGACTCGAGATGGTCTGGACATACTACAGTGCCTAACTTTATACTCGTTCGCCCATTCTACTTCCGCATGCCACGATATCCAACCTGCGAGCCACCTCCCATGTCATAGTGCAGTGCTTCCCGCGTTCTTCTGCCCGCACTGTAATCCCTTCCCCTCTCTGAAATCCCGCAGCAAGTTCCCGCCCCCGCAGCCGCGAACTTTTTCCATCAGACCCCGTTGTCGGCCTACATGGTAAGCCTGCTGCTGTTCATCCATCCACGGTCGGGTGTTACAGGTCCTCCCCCGTTTTTTCATTCTACATCCACGTTTTCTCACTACTCGGCAGGTTTCCATGCGCTACTTTCATAAAAAACAAGAAACTGAACGATCCGATAAAATACCCGATCTTATTCCTGCGGGCTAGAAGCCAAAACCAAAAAACAAAAAACAAAAAAACCAAAAAACTCAGATGCAAAAAGCGGATAAGACATCAAGCTCTACCGAGAGATTAACTCACGCTGGTCGGGCTAGCCTCTCTGCAGTGGCAAATACTTCATAGATGCCTGTCTACTAACGATTGGTTGATAGACCATACTACCTTGGCTCTACCATAGTGTAAATCATGTCTATTTGTCTTTCCTAATAAAAAGATCAGGGAAACCATCGAACACCTGTTCATGCAATGTCCGGGTACGGTATTGTTATGGAGAAGATGGGACTGTGTGTGGAGAGGATTGACGGGGATTGACTGGCCATGGGAATGGAGAGTCATTCTTCTGGGTCATTGGGAACCTTATGATATACAACTTTTGAAATTGGCCGGAAAGCCATTCTGTGGGTATTATGGTACAAAGGTGTGTCCACGAAAGGGAGGATGTAAAGATGGAAGGATCAGAAATTGCTGAGTTGATTGTCCAATTTGTACAGACGGAAATACGGGAGCATTGGAAAACTCTCTGTGCTAAGATAAAACATTTCCATAAGAAAAAGGATATTCTCAGTAATATTCAAAAATTCAATCTAGACTGGCTTAGGGGTGCTGAAGGAGGAAGTTTGGGAGAAGTGAAATGGCCAGGAGGGGAAGTACAGGACGAACCTCTGAAGCGGGACTTCCACCTAATCTTCAGAGACTGGTTTTCACTTCAACCAGGAGTCACACTCAGATCCCCGGATTGTTTTCTAGACCCCTTCCCTCCCTCTGAATTGGCAATGGTTGATGTTCAATGGTATGCTTTGGGAGATGGCTAGATTTCGAAGCTTCCGGGGTCTATATCAAAATTTTCTTCAATCATGGTTGTTATTATTCATAGTGCCAAGGCAGGCTAGAATTGTATGGTTATATCTAAGGCTGAAGAGGCAGGCTGGCTCATTTAAACAAGAAAAAAAGGTGGAAGCGAGACGATTGGAACTGGGGACGGTAGGGAGAAGGAGGAATTAGCAGGAAGTAGTAGAATCTGGCGCCTGGTTCAAGGTGAAGAGATTCCCCCCTCTATCCCCTAACCTGCTCAGTCAATCCCCTGGATCCTAGGACAATTAATGCTGGAAGGAACCTTTCACAATGGTTACTCATTATTCCTGATTTGGTTCAAATTCATTTCATGTAAGGGACGCTGGACCCGTTTTCCAGCAGGTGATGCTCCCCACCAATAGATGGAGTTAAAAAAAAAAAAAAAAAAAAAAAAAAAAAAAAAAAAAGCCTGCTCTGCTTCTGCAGGTACCCCCTATTTTCTTCATCCTCACTCTCCCTCCCCCTTACCCCTACTCCCACTTTTTCTCTTATTCCTTCCCACGTGCATTCAACCTTCCCAGTCTGTACTGAAACGCCCCCTCTGTTTTTGGCCGTGTTTCAATTTTCCCATATTCCTACCTAGTACGTTCTTTAAGCCATCCCTTTGGGGGGTTCAGCATGAAACCCGCACCACTTCGGAGGCCGCCAATTTTTTTTTTCAATGGCGCCTCCGAGTTTTGCTTGTGGCGCCGAAAACTTTCTGCAAGGCTTGGGCCGCGTACTTGCGGCTTAAACCACCACTACCTTTCAGACGCAAAGTCTATATCGAAAATATATCCTATGGTCCTATACTGCGTTCTTCTAAGGCCGGGCGCCTCCGGACCGAAATGGCTGGCGGCGTCAGCCAAGACAAAATAAATAAAGTCGTGCTGGTGCTTTGGCAAAGCTTTGCGCACAGTTCTCCTCTCCGCCCTCGGCAAAAAGAGGCTCGGAGTTCGTGAGTGGTGGTTTAAAAAGCATTTGTTTTTCAAAGATAGTAGTAATATCACAGTACTGAAAAATTGCAGACTTTCGATTTTTCTTACCGTTCCACGATTCCACATTACTTACGAGTCATTACGACTACTTAAACTTTAAAGTTAGAACTTTGATTGATTCAATTTGATTGATTGACCCCAGTGGACGCTTACCAAAAAAAAAAAAAAAGATGGATTCATTCATTCATTCATTCATCCATTCATTCATTGGTTTCTTAAACAAACGACGAGTCGGGACGACATGTGTCAAAAGGAGCTAGCACAACCTCATTGCTTCCCTGATGTAGTCCACAGTGCTAAACATATTTGGCAAGAAATTACTAAATTAGTTAAAAGTTTTAAAGTTAAAACTTAAAACTTTCAGAGTTTCAACAACTACTTTTAATACAATAATTAATAATAATTTAATTATAAATTATAATATTTATTTAATTATTTATTTCGTTTTATATTTAGTGATGTGACTGATGTCAATCACATGAAGAATGTCAACAAAACACGAATTGTCCACAAACCCTACAAAGAAAAACCTACTGTTACACTCTTCTTTTTTTTTTAACTAAACGAAAAAGGAACATGTAACCAATTGCTGCAAATCCATGCCACTCCACCGGGTTCGTGCCTCCCCGCCCCACCTCTACCCCCCCAAAAAAAGGTAAAATGAAAAACAAGTGTTCATCTACTACATCAGCAAACAACAGAAAATGAAACAAAACAAACAAAGACAAACGCAAATCAACATTAGTACGACGACGCCTTCCTCAGATAAAATTAACCTTTAACCAGTACTCGAATGCGAGCAACAGCTTCACACCATGAACTCTTCCGACACCAGAAGCTCTTATTGATATATCAAAGTGGTCGACCTTTCCGTCATAATTGACATCATTCTCGTAAGCCTGTATCAGAAAAGCAGCAACTCTCCAGTTACAACAATCATCATCACACAGACACACAGAAACAGACACAGAAACAGACACACAAAAGTGGGTATATTACGGTTGTGAATGACTACAGTCTCACCCGAATTCACTTGTATCTGTTGATGCGGGTGTTTTCTAAACAAACAAACAAACAAACAAACAAAACAAAACAAAAAGAGCGCCCGGTAATTATTCCCGTATGTGGACCGAATGTTGCACAAAATACAGCAATAATGACCGGGCATTCCATTCGGGTGAAGACGGTAGTTTCTTGTTGTACTTGAAGACTTGGACGTGCTGCCAGACTCTTGTGAGGGGTTTGAACTAGACAGTCTGCTAGGATTGCAGGGTTGGTGTGAGTTAACTTCACAGTAAAGCCATACGATCTGCTGAGTTAATCTCCTGGTGTCCAGGGAAATCAATGCTGGCAGGCGGAAAAAGAATGCTCAGACTTTCTTTCAATGTATAATAATGGAACGCTGGACCTGCTTTGTGGCAGGTGCAGCTCCCCACCAATAGATTGGAGCAACCAGAAAGCGTGCTAGGGGGGGGGGGGGTGCTCTTACCACCCCTCCTAGCGGGGGACTGGCTTTCCCCCCCCGCAAAAAAAAAAGGGAAACTGTGGCTGTGGCACACTTTAGCTTGAGATAGGCAACAAAAGACAAAGTGGTGCTGATGTCATGATCTGAGTTTCAAAATGTGCAAGTTCAGCGGGGGTCTAAAACTGCACCAGTCATTCACTACCCGCAATGGCGCTTCACAGATTTAGGGGGGTCGCCTTTTTTGCTCCATAATTTCGGGAACTGCTAAAGTTGCCTATTCTGAACGTTCGGTGTGACTCCAACGTACTTGCGCAACCCCCCCCCTCCTCCTCCTCCTCCCCCCAAAAAAAAGGGGTAACTTCGGCGCAGCCACGAAAACAGTTTGAACTTTTTTTTTTTTTTTTTTTTTTTTTTT